GCCTGCAAGCCGCTGGTTTCATCTGTCAAACACCCCAAAACACCGCTGCCAGATGAGCCTTCTTGGAACTTTACTTTGTGCAGGTCCCTCTCCTGCTCAAACCTCACACAGCTTCCTTCTTCCCGCCCCTCCACCCCATATCAGTGGGAGCCCCTGCATCCGTAAGACTGCCCTATCCCATTGCATTAGAGTTCGTCCATTGCATGTCTATTACCCCCACAAGACAGGAGCCCCCACGGGGGCAGAGCAGTGAACACTTCTTTATTCCTGCTCCTCGAACTTAAGTTAAAATCCAAATTGGCATCCCATTACTCTGAAAGGTTTATTGGGAGTGATTCCAAACCCTCATATCCACTTCAGATCACTTTTTACTCAGTGTAACTTGAATATCAATCCAAACTTTTTGTAAAGATAGCCCTTTTGAAGGTACTACAGACCATCTAATTTTCTGTTACTAATTAATACAGCAAAGAGCTGGACCACTACCGCTGGATTCAATGGAGTGCTTCCCATCAAGAGGCTGAAATTACAGTGGGAATTCAGAAGCTGCTGTTTTAGAATGCATGGAGAGAGGAGAGAGCCCAGGACTGGGACATCTGGTGTGTGGTTAAGGAGAACCGAGAATCATTTCCCAGAACCCACAGCCATTTCACCCAATGGTTCCCAGAGTCTAAAGTGATCTCTATTGGAGAGAAGTGAGGAAAGAAGCTGAACAATTAGCACTCTCAAAGCCCTAAACAGGGCAAATCATCTCCACTGGGTCCAGAGTTGAAATCCTGAGAAAAGACCCAATTTCCCAAGTGGAGCTCCAAGCTGGTCTGGCAGACTAGACATGTAAGCCTATGGTCCATGCCCCATGCCTCTCTGACACATATGGATGGGAGAATCCCCAGGGCACTGCCACCCCTGGGTCATCTAAATCCCAGGACCTGGCACACAGCCTGGAAACAGGGGTTCAAGAAGAAATGACCTAAAGTCAGGTCTATCCCCAGGTCTATCCCTTATGGCCCTAACCACAGGTCTGTTTTCTGAAGAACCTGGAGGGACCACACAATTTGTTTGCTTTTTATATCTCCTTCCCATGCCAGGGAGTATAACCTGTGTGTGTGCAGAGCCAATACACACCCACACAATCTTACAGAACACATGTGCTGCTGAACAAACACACAGTGTGACCTTCCAACACTTACGGCCCATTGCCAGAGTTATTTCTGAAGCACACTTGCTGACTACAAATCTCACTTGCCAACTGCTTGATCTTGGGTAAGTCTCCTAACCTCTCTGGGCCTTCCTTTCCTCAACTGTATGAAGGAGTGAATAGAACCTTCTTATAGGGCTATCTTAAGAAGTAGAGTTAATGCATGTAAAGCAACCACCCCGAGAGATGGTTCAAGGATTAAATCCTATCAAGCATGTAAACGGGCTAGAATACTGTTGGACACAGATTAAATATTCAATATAAGGTAGCATTACTATTATTCATTGTTAGTGAATATAATAAGTAATCATTATTATTTCCTTCTTGGGGCAGAACGCTTCACAGGACCTTCAGATGCTAACTCGGCTCAGCTGCTGGTCACTTGTTTGCCTTTGGACAAGTCATTTCATCTTTCAGCCTGGCCACTTTTCCCCACGAAACAAGTTATAAACCAGAGAATAATCCCTCTGTAGTCACATGTCTGCAAACATGTACTAGATATTCCTAGGAGATCACTGTAACGCACGCTTCTGAAGAATGTACTTGTTTCTTCCAGATAGGCACATTATCTGCAGTCATCCATACTACTTGTTGGGGCTTAATGAACAAATCACACTCTTTGTCTGTTTTGATGCTGTGTCTGTGCCAAGATTGTATTCTCCTTGAGGACAGAGGCCTGGCCTTGCCCTCCACGTGCCCTTGGCATTGGCACACAGTCACATTCCATCCCTCTTACTAAAGGAGCAATGAAAATTTGTTAACAGGGAACCATCATTTGTGGGCACCTTCCCCTAGCAACCCAGTAACAAGCCACCCACTTCCAATAGGCAAAACAGTGTTTGTGTATTCAAATTGGACTCCAGAGGCTACAAACTGTCTGTCCACGGGTCAACTACCAAATTTTGTTTGCCCCGACCACCTATGATTTAAAATTTTTAAGTTGGTTTCCAGCTTTTAAAAATTGAGAGGTATGGCAAGAAAAAAAAAAATCTAGATTTCAGCTTTTATTGAATAATTGGAAGATCTGGCAATAATCCGGGCTTAAACAATCAGCAGTAGCTGAAGAGTAGCTGCCCTCTTTATTGCTCTCTACCTTACTACATTCTCTACCACTCCCTCAGGGCTTTCCAGATCTATCCCAAGCTGTTAATCATTGATTGTCAAAACTTAGGAATTAACAAACAAACAAACAAAAAACAAACAAAAAAAACCCCCAAACCCTTAGGAATTAACTCTTGGTGTGCCTGCATCTGTGTTGTGCATTATATTTAACACAGGGTGTTTTGCACAAAGCAGTCCAGAAATGCATCACAAATGCGAGCAGGAGGGACACACTTGACCTCATCTTGCAAACATGTGCTAAATAGTTCTGGGGAGATCTCTGTAAAGCATGCTTCCAGGAGTATATTTATGTTTTCCAGATAGGCAAGTTATCTATTCTTTCATGGAAGCCAGAGCAAAGACATAAATCTCGTGTCACTTATCAAAGCAAACTGAAGCAGAAGTAAACAGTGGCCTGAAAGGCAGAAAAGCAATTTTAAAAAATTAATAAATGATGAGACTATTAACAGCACATGAAAAGGGTTTGCTTTTTTCCCCTCCCCTTTAATATGATTTTTTACCTTAAACATTGTGTCCTTTTAGGAAAGGGAAGAAAAGTTAATAAAGGAACCTATCACTCAAACTTAATTTTGAGTATGGCAAATAAACTGCTTTAATGAAAGGGCTGAAATCCCTAGGTTTGCACATTAAATTTTCATTCGTAGTAGAGAATGGAAATTATTGATTCAGCCGTGGCATCATGCATTTTGAATCCTACAGTGCCTCGGAAGCCCCCGTTACTGCTGGGTGCAAATGTGTGGGCAGCGTTTTGATGCAGGGTGAGCGCAGGGTAGGTGAGGGGGTGGGGCAGACTGTCTCTTCACAGAATGAAAATAATCAATGTTCCTCATCTGTAAGATCACCTAGACAAAGCACTGCTTCCAATGGCACGATGGATCAGGGGTTGCATTCTGAGATCAGAAAAGCCAGGTTCAGTCAGTCTTCCAGGAAGCCCAAACAGCTTCATGGGAGATTTTATATATGGCAGAATGGATGGCTGATGATTTGATCCTAAACTCTTGGGAAGGTTTGGGTTTCAAGAAAACTGAAGAGGAATGAAAAGAACTTTCTCGGTTCAAGGTCAGGGCGTCCATCAAGGTAAGAGTAAGTGTCTGACAGTCTAACGCTGAACGGGATAGCACAGAAAAATCAATCAAAACCACAAATACAGCCTCAACCCGGTGTGGCCTCAACAAACAGTTAGGGATGCGAGCCTCCCATCTTCACTTAAAGCATAAAAATAGGTATGTTTTTCCTTTCAAAGAAATTAATCCTCCTGCCTCTCAGAGGACTACCTCATAATTAAACAACTCTTAATTATTTCTCCATTAGATAGCTCAAGGGATTGATTTTAAGATGAGAAGGAGGCAGCCGGAGTCAGGCCCATTTTGGGGTCTGTGTGTACCACAGACCATAAATATCAGGAAAGCAATCATCTTTCGAAATAAAATTAAACTCAACTGCAAAAGTAAAGCTGCTTAAAGGAAGGAAGGAGCAAGGGAGGACAGACAATCATGTAATATATTCCAAAAAAGAAGGTTTTTGTTTTGGCTTTGGTTTTGCTTTGATTGCCTCCTAGCTATCTGCTGCCAATCGTCTCCTCTGTCAGTCTGGATGTTGGAGAAGTAGGTGTGTTGAACCAAAAAGTTCTGCTTTTGTGTTTTCGTGCACTGAGAGCTGGTGCCATCTATAGATCTCCATTCTGGGAGAGGTTTCTCTTTTGTCCTACTTTGCGTCAGACCTGCTGTCGTGAGGATAAGAGCGCCCAGGAGACACCTCCCTGTGGTTTAATAGGCTATGAAGGATGGGACTCATTAATGGGCTGGCAGCTGCCCCCAAGCAGGATGCTGCCTGGAGGTGGAGGAAGAAGGGGAAGGGAGGTTGAGGAGGAGGAGGCTCCATCCAGGAGATCACCACTGGCTGTGGGAGGGGGCCTCAAAACAAACAGCGCCACTTCCTGAAGGCTCCCCACGAGATGAAGTCTGAACCGAGTGTGACACACAGTCACAGAAACCTCTGTCTGGGAGGGGCAGGCTCTGGGTAATTGCTTCTCTTTTTCGACTTAAAACAATCCCACCTGAGATATTATCTACAGTCCTGATTATTTTCCAATGGTTCGAATGTCACTTTTTCTGTCATTCCTTTACTATGTTCCTAACAATTTTATAGTACCCATCCTTATTACACTAGAGTTTATTTATAACTGATTTTGTCTTTCCTAGTCTCAGTTAGGAGATGAACTGTCCACCCTTTGGTAAAGTCAAACTGTTCAGCCTGGCCCATGAGGCCCCTGCCCACCTCCCATCCAAACTCAGGCCATGCTAGTCTATATGCTGTTCCCCACTTATAATGTTTACATTCATTTTCACAGCTTCTCATGTGCTGTTCCCTGTGTCTGGAACAGCTTTGCAGCCCCAGCTTCTTCCTATGGCTCAGTTCTGGCCATCTTTGCAGACTTGGGCTCACAGGCCTTCTTGGTGGGCCCTGACACCCCATCTGCCCTCTGTCCCCTCCCTCTACTCAGCCCGCTTCTCATTCTTTGTAATGATCTGCATCCCCCACTTAGTACAGTGGGTGATAAATGTCCTTTGCATGAATAAAGAACACCACTTCCAGCTCCCTCATAGCCTGGATTTATTAGATCAAAGGGATGAAATTTAACCAGTGCTGTCCAGTCAGGAGCCAGCATATCACTTCTTACCTTTATGGTTTTGGTCTGGAGTCTGAGTCCATTTAAAGTGTTGATGGCTTTCTCTGCATCCTTTGGATCAATATAGTTAACGAATCCATACCCTAAACTCTGTCCTGTGGAAACATTTAAAAAAAAAGAGAGAGAGAGAGAGAGAAAGAGAGAGAGAGAGAGAGCTCAGTATCTTTTTAGCAGTAACAGCTCCCACTGCAGCAAGGAGTCAAAACTTTCCTTTAGTATATGATTCGTTTTACAGCAGGGTTTACCCCAGGTGGAAAAGTTTCCAGTTCTTCCATCTCTCACTTTGGTCAGCCTATGAACTCACAGGAGCCACCCAAGTTAGGAATGGGTGAGCGCCCCTGCCCATCCACATACATACATAAGTGTCCGCTCAATCAGAAAGAAGTGAGAAGGTCGTGGAAAGAGAGCAGGTGTGGTTTGTTAGATTTGAACTGGAGTCATGGGGCTTTTCCTATCAGCTGTGGGACAGTGGAGAGAAGTCATTTAATGTCCTGTTTCTTCCCCTACATGTTTTCTCTGGAGATAATAGCACTTGCCACAGACAAGTTTAAAAGCGTTAATGAGATCTTGTGCATAAAATGCCTACCAAATACGTTGCCTAGAATATAGTAGCTGCTCAACGAAAGGCAGCTATGCTACGCTGAGTCCTGTGAAACTGGGGCGAGCTGAATGCAGTAGCTGTGTCTGCTGCCTCAGTCATGCCAGCCACGCCCACACGCGGAGGAATGTAGCAGGATCTGAGCAGCAAAGACAGAGACATTTATAGTGAAGGCATGACCAGAATTTAAAGCAGTTGCTACAAATCATTGGTTGCCCTCATCATCTCCCCAGTCCAAGAACAATTAAAAAAAAAAAAAAAAGGAGGGTTCTATTGGAAAGGACTGGGGAGCTCCTAACACAAAGGAGAGAGTGCAAACACATTCTGCAAAGACGGTTTAGCTCCTTTAGGTGGAGATGGCATCGACTTGTCTGCAAAGAGAGGTAGCAAGTGACAGGGCTCCCCCCTAAGTGAAATAAAAATAATGTGCTTGCGATCGTGCCACTGATTATAAATAGTCCATCAGCTCTGCCATGTGTCATCAGCCAGAAATATCATTAGGAAACTTTACATTTTCTGACATACCCTTTAAGAAACACAGAGCTTAGGGTGGCTGCAAAACCAGCTTGAACTTCCCAGGCAATGTTATTGATTTGTGGGCGGCAGCAGAGCCGAAGGGGAGGAAAATGACAGGACGTCACATGTCAGGGAAGACTGATTACATAAAGCTTTTTGGAGTACCCGGGCCAGGTCTGGGAGACAATACAGCAAAAAGCCTGCCATGTCCTGGTGACAGGAGCCCATTCCAGCAGCCAAAAAATCTTTCCAACAGCTTCTGTTTTGCTGGTAAATGTCTGTGTTTGTGTTGGTTGTAGGAGGGAACCTGGGAAAACAAGTTGGGTTCTGGATTAGAAAATGGGTGACTTTATAATCCTTTATAGGACGCAAGCAAAGAGCATCACGAGGAATGGCTAAGTGCCCATTTTTGTCCCCCAAATGAGAATACTTTCCATTAGAATATTCCTTTGTGTTTTGGAATAACAGGGCTAGAACAGGAAAGACAGGAGCAAACTTTGCCAGATATACCCTTTATAGGCAAAATTAGTAACTGAAGAAGGAGGAGAGAATGTTGAACACTCTCCAGCTGCCAGGCCCCTCTGTGCGCATGCGTGCGTGTGTGTACAGGAGAGTAAAAGTGTGACAAAGAGAGAGAGAGAGAGGTGTGTGTGAATTACAAGACCCTGCCACATGTTCTGGGAAACTTCTGCAAATCCAAAAATATAAGAGACATTAGTTTAAAAATACCATTTATCCTAAATTTGGCTCCACCTCATCAAGCCTAACTAAATTCACCTAATTAAATCCATTTTCATCATTCAAATTTATCAGTTCCATTTTCCTTGTAAATCAGAGAAGTCTTAAAAATTGCAGTACTAAAATATTCTTATAATTATTCATTTTAAACAGTCATGCACCAAGTTGAGATGCTTTAAAGGGCATTTTTAAAGCAATAATCTCAACGATAAACCTTAGTTATGAGTTCTAGGAAACAAGTCAAACAGTCAATCTACCCAGCTAAATTGAATTTGTATGAAATTAAAATGAAATATGAAAAAACACAGACAAAACACTCACCCCTTAACTGCAAACATTAAACCTAAACCCAAATAGTTCATGAGTCATCATACTGATGGAATGTATGTGAAAGAAATTATTATGCCTACCAGTGGTGCATGTTCCCCAATATACTATATCTTTCTTTCTAATTATTCATGTATTTATGGAAATCTAAAGTAAATATAGTGGCTATGATTTTACATTCTATATTTTATCTTTATTTTATACGCTTCAGGTCCTAGGAAGGTTCTGAAGGTCAAGTGAAAGAAAGGACTCTCTTTTTTTTTTTTAAGACTTATTTATTTATTTTACAGAGAGAGAGAGTGGGGGTAGGGGAGTGGCAGAGGGACGGAATCTTCAAGAAGACACCCTGTTGAGCGCAGAGTCCAATGATGGGGGGAAGGGGGCTTGATCCCAGGACCTATGAGATCATGACCTGTGCTGAGATCAAGAGTCGGATGCTCAACCGACTGAGCCACCCAGGTACCCCAAAAGAGGACTCCTGCCCAGCAAGCTGTGTCATATCTACTCACCTGCCTGTATCAGTCCCAAACCATCACCTCAGGTTGAAGGCAATTAGCACAACTGTGCTATTATCACCTGCTCTAGGTTTAGAGAGAGACTGCACTTAACATCAGGAATGAGGGTGTTTTTGAGAAAAACTAAAAACCAGATGAACATCGTTTCAGAAAGGAAGAGGGGGAAAGACTGGAGGTTCTCTTTGATATGAAATAATGAGGTGCAAACTCTGAAACAGAACACTGCATTGAACAAGAGGGGAACAGAGGTGGAAAGCATTGCCTGTGAACTGAAAGACATGAGATAAACTGCCACACAATGATACTACCTGTGGTTAGCCTAGTTCGAGAACAGCTTCCTCACGTGCTTCTTGCCAACATAGGAGGAGTCCAGCTAAGTCTAATAAAAAATACTTGATGGAACCAAGCAATCTCTTTTAAAACACTCGAGAGATGATTAAATCCCGAGGTGGAAAATATAAAACTCAAGCCTCATTTCTTTCAAAAATTATTAGTAGCGGGGGAGAGTGAAACGAAGAATTCTGTTTTAACTTGTCTGTACGGTGGGCATACATTGGTGATGAGTTTTGGGTTTGCAGTTCTATATTTAAATGCACATAGAAAACTATAGATGAAACACATTCACAAAATATACCAACACTATTTCCAGGGGACCCAGAGAGCCACCATGCTGGGAAGGCCCCAGGGGACGCAGTCTGGAGCCTAGAGCGAAGTGTGTGTGTATCTGCATCCCAGAAATAGATAAGGGACTCTTATTATTCCTTTTTCCCAAAATAACTACATCTTCCTTTATCAGCGGTAGCAAGATTTGACCATATAAGTATAGTGACAGGATTTTCAGAACAGAAAATTTTTTTAAATTTTATTTTTGTTCTCAACTTATGAATTTATTTTGATACCAAGTTGGTCAAATAAAACAATTAAACCATTGAGGTTATGGCTACTGAATCATCAATAAAAAATAAAATCAATAAAGAAAAGATGATATTATGAAATGAAGATTGCCTCCAAAATTTAGAAATTATCCTGAATACCTGGCTCCTTGATACTCAAGTGATCCACAGCCCTTACATGTGACCACTCCCTAATAGTCCTGTCCAGCAGGCACAGATGAGGGATCCCCAGTGATGACGCATGGGCAGGAAATGCATTCTTGGCAGTTTGGGATGGAAACTTAAAATTAGAATGTAGTTTCCGAGGGGAAACATTTATACATAATGGCTACATTTTAAGGCACTTCAGTGTATTTTGGATTAAAGAGGTTCATGTTTTTAACAAGCTTTTCTTAAATCTGAACATGAATATCTCTGTTTTGAAAAATTGCACAAATGCACACTCACACACACACGAACACAGGATGTGTCCTCCTACTCTGACATAGCAACATCTTCATTCTGCGGTAATAATTTGTATACCAACTTCTCCCCCCTGGAAACCAAACACTTCTCACAAGAACTAGCTTATAAAAGTTTGCTTCCTCGAACATAGTAGGTTCTCAACAAACAGATCAAAGAGTGGATATACCTGTCTGTACCAACCCTCCATTTCTGGAAGAATGCTTTATGCTTGGGGGAAAGGAGGGGGATCTGGGGAATTCTTTTTGCATTTGTGAGAAAGGGAGAGCATGACAAGCTGACACCAAGGATTGGAAAAGAAAACGCAATGAATGTCTGGGTGGGCTCTCCGCCAGCACAGATCAGGTGCTGCCCACTCTCAGAGTTTCTAAAGTGCTTTGCCACCTGTTCTGTCACATCTGACTCCTACAACAACCCTGTGGGAGGGATAATCATCATTTTATAGATATGGAAACTGAAGATTAGAGAAAATAGTGATATGCCCTCCATTACAGAGCTGGATCTCAGTCTAGATCAGTGGTTGGCAAACTTTTTTTTTTACGTACCGGGTGAGACAGTACGTAGTTTAGGATTGGCGGGTCCTCTGGTCTCTGTCATGACAACTTTGCCATTACAGCAAGAAAGAAGCCATAGACAATATGTGTTCCAATAAAACACATTCAGAAAAATAGGCAGTGGGCTCAATTTGGCCTTTGGGCCATAGTTTGCTGACCCCTGGTTTAGATCTTTTGAGTCCAAATCCAGTACCCTTTTCCATACTCACAGCTACCCCATTTGAACTAAAATATCACTGACAATGATACCAAAGCCCTGAAATACTTCTGAGGCTTTTTTGAATCATCTAAGAAAAACTCAACTATCTTCAATAATCTGCTCTAATAAACATTTTCATTGTATTCAAATTCTAGGAATCACCATCATAGCTGATTATAACCCATCATTTTCCCGGTCATTCTGGATAGATGTTGTTTTCCCTTCGCCTTTGCAGACCTGGAGGTTATGACAGGAGGACCCCAAATGTGACATCCTCATGGTTGATGGCAGCA